GAGGAACTAGCCGGGTGCTTTTTTTTACAGCTGCTTTGCATGTCCCTTCCTCCACGGTTAGCAACAGCATCCTGGGGCAGGTTTCTTTTCAATGCCTGTTTCTTTTTCTGTTTTTTCTTTTTTCAAGAGAGCGCGCTGGATGCGAGCGGATTCAAACCCACCCTGTGTTTTCAGCGCAGCACCCAAACCTGCCCCGGGACAGATGCGTCTCTAAGGGACCGACGGCCAAGTTCACAGACGGAGACAACGAGCCCGTGGCCAGTGTCACGGAGGAACCCCTGCTTCACAGCTGGGGGCGCATTTCCTTCGGGCTCGGAGGTTGGGTAACCGCAGAAGGAATCAGCGCCCAAGACGGACGCATGAGCATCCTCACAGCGCCCCCTGCACCCCGGGGGTGCGGAACAGCTGCCCGCAGCTTTCCTGGAGGGCAGCTCTCTCTGGGAGCTGGGCCTTGGGGTGCCCCTGGGAGCAGACCCCCTCGGGGCGCCCCGGGAGAGCAGGTGTGCGCTCAGCTCCTGAAGACTGATCTAAACAAAATACTGTTTTTGTTAAGGAGGCCTCCAGCGGAGGGGCGCGCGACCTCCCCGCCCCCCGGCCCCGCCTTGGCTGGCTGCTCTTATTTTTAGTAAAAGTATAAAAAGGGGCTCCGGAGGGAGAACGTGGAAACTCTGCAAGGGGCGCACTTGGCTCCGGAGGCCCTCAGAGAGCCCCCCGCGAAGGAAACGCTGCACCTCCCTCCGGGGAGCACCCCTACCGTGGTTTCAGAAGTGAAAGCTGAGGTCTTTGCTTTGTGGTTACTTTTCTAAATAGGGCGCGAGAGGTGAACGCTCCATGGAGCACATTTTTAGGTTTAATTCCCCCATGGACAGAACTTCAGCCACACACTTCTAGATAAGAATGTAGATTTAAATAATCAGAACAATAATAGTAATAAAGCATTGGCTAAACTCACCTCAGGAAAAACATCACCCAAGAGACACTTTTTCTACCCTGACTGTGTGTGCCCCGCACTGTGTAGCAGCTTCAGAGTATCGTTTTGCTTCGGTTTTCAAGGGCTTTGGGCCTAAAGTACTTTACAGAAAAAAAAAAAGACTTGAAATAAAATCTATTGAAATCTATTCCGGAGGCTCTTTCCCCGCTTTGGGGGTATTCGGTATGACGCCGATTGCTTGCTCCCGCTAACACCGTGACCTCCGTCTTGGAGGAATTAACAAAGGAAACCCAGGCTGCCTAAGTCAGCCCCCAGGTTCAGAAGTTCAGCGCATTTGTCTGGGGAACAAAGTCTTCCCGGGGCCGAGAGGCATTCAAAGGGCGCACTGGTGTTAATGGGATTGTTCGCGATATACCTGAGACCGGATAAATATTTGACGATTTCACAGAGCACCAGGGTCTCTTCGCAGTTTTTCTTCTAGCTGACACGTCCGTCCCCCC